AGAGAGAGAGAGAGAGAGAGAGAGAGAGAGAGAGCAAAAGGAAGTCTACATGATTTGTTAAATATTTAATAAACATTTAAAAATATTTGTCATCAACATATTAATTTAAACGTTTCTACAGGTTTATAAAAAATAGTATTGCCACATTTAAATCTAACAATTACCTCCAAATTGACATTAAATTTTAATTGCAATTTCTATACTCTAATCACGTATTGATATTGAAAAACAATTTGTATTATAAAATGTGATTTTCTAATCATTTCCACCAAATAGTAAAATCAATTTGCATATAATAATATTTAAACTAATAATTTTAATTGTTGTTATCTTTTTATAGTACATTTACATTAAATACTTAATGATTACACACATAAAGTATATTATCTAATTTAGATTAATATTGCTGTTTAAATTTATGAATTATTTCACCACTCGCACCCTTAGTTAAACTTATAATATATTTGTATATTATAGTCTGAAATAATGCCAAAATTCGGTGCAATTATTGTTTTGTAAGTATAATCTCATAGGATTTGGGAACTCTAATAAACATGATATTAGCGTCGGGCTCAAAATCGGCCGTTCCCTCGCCTGATGGCAACGCAAACACATAGCCTTTAGTGGACTTCAATAGTCGCACCGTTATGTAGAAGAGGTCGGCCAGAGCTAGCTTTTCGCCCAAACATATGCGCCGTCCGATTCCGAAGGGCGCGAACCCCGGGAGGGCTGACGTGTATCTGTGGTCGTCACCCAAGAACCTGTTCGGGTCGAAGACATCCGGATTAGGCCATAGGTTGGGGTCGCGGTGTATGGCCACCAGGTTTCCTAAAATAATTGAATCCTTTTTGATGAGATACTTATCTAAAGTGTCATTGAATTGAAAAAGTTAGCATGCACGTTTCCAAGTTTGTGGCTGATGATTTTGAATGCATACCTAATTGCATGTCAGATACGGCTAATTTGGCCACACCTAACGTGGCCACTCCTCTATATCTGAGGCATTCAGCGATGAATGCGTTGACATAATGGCAGTCATTCCTGTTGTGAATGTCTGCCACCGTATCGCCGATAATGTCATTGATTTCGTGTCTCATTCTTAACTGCATTTCCATATTGTTTGCCATCAATAGTATAATCCATCGCATCATATGGTATGTGGTTTCGATACCCGCTGTCCAATGAATTGATTAAAATTAAAATTTTAGATATTTTTACAAAAGTAGTCAAACCTATGAACAGATCGACGATAACGAGCGATAGGTTGGCGTCAGTTAAGGCGGAAGCGCTCTCTTTCTCCTCAGCGATGGCCTCCTCTTTGGCTTCAATGAGCGCATCGCAGAAGTCATGGATTACTCCCGAAGAGTGCACTTCCAGTCGATCCAAGTATTTTTGTTTCGCGTCCATAAATATGTCATTCACTGTTCGCATGGTTTTGTTGACTACGGTAGCGTAAAATGGTTTGAGTATAGGCACTCGGTCAGTTAGGATTAATTCGCTCAGGTTGGCTCTGAAGTACTCAAAGCTTTGCTCATAAAACTCGAGCTCTTTGTCTTTAAAAGAGTAACTGTTTTATAGGAAAAATTGTTTTTATTACAAATCTTTTACGAGACATACAAACCGTTTGCCAAATGCCGACGACGTGATTATGTTGATGACAGACATATAGAGGTAGGTCTTGGGATTAAATGGTTTATCTGTGCCTTCATTGGTGATCATTGTCCGCGCTCTCATTCACCACATCGTCCACCAAATGAGACAACTTCTCACTCGCCGCTAGTTTTCTGAGTTTTTTCAAACCGTGTCATAAAACAGTCGTTTTGTTTAATTCATATAAACTTGTAGTGAGATTATAATACACAACACATACCTGACCGCAGAGTGGGCCACCCGTCGAAGGCTCACCAAAACGGGTCCATAACTAGTGAAGATAATATCCGTACCGTTTTGTAGCAATATTTTCCAAAACCAGTGTCCGGACGACCCATTAATTCATTATTCTTTGAATTGAACCCCTTTTTGACTAACTCATAGTCCCCGATAATCATTGGTGTCGTCCCAAACCATAGGGTATACACCGGGCCATAGGTCTCATGCAATTCAGTGACTGTTACGAATTGATTGACTTTTGTGTTTCTGAAAACTGTTTTTATAGTAATAATTTAGTAAATTTTAAAAATTGTTGTATGATTTACAAATCTGTAGTGGGAATATGAAATAAACACATTGTCATATTTTTAGATATCGATAGTAATCGAGAAAGATTAATTATAAATTATTAATTATATAAATTAATTATAATCATCACACTACGTGGTCATAGTCATAAACTTTTAAGCTTAGCTTGCTTATTCATACAAATATATGATTTAATGTTCAAAATAGCACATTATGTTTTACTAAATAAAACTAAAACTAATAAAAACAAAAACTTGTTTTATAAAAATTCTTATAAATACTCAAACATAATTTGAACATTAAGTCATATATTTGTATGGATAAGCAAGCTAAGCTTAAAAGTTTATGACTATGACCACGTAGTGTGATGATTATAATTAATCTTTCTCGATTACTATCGATATCTAAAAATATGACAATGTGTTTGTTTCATATTCCCACTACAGAAATATTGTTTTTATATAACAATTATTTTACTTAAGATGTTCCCAATGATTGGCAACGGAAATGGACCTCTGGGTAGGGAAAGCACTCGCAAATAGAACCTGACCAAATATCCAGTGATTAAACCCACGCTAATCGTAATTAGCCAGCTCACCGCGCTATAGCTTAAGTCCATCATTTTTGTTTGCAAACTATAATCAATGTTCAAATTAAAACATTAAAAACTGTTTAACTTAACGGTTTAAGGAATACCACTTATGTGCAGAATTTAATATTTTTGAAAACAAAACACCAAATTGTGTTCACTTTTATTGAGTGTGAGCTAAAAATATGGTAAATAAGTTGACGCCCATATTAATCCAACATATTACATAAAATTCTAATTATCTATTTATTTAATCTTGGATCTATTAGTTATGATTGGGTTTTAGCTACCTGTGCAGCAATGATGTAGAAAATTCCTCACATGCTAATAGTTTCTGCCCAAACTCGTTAATTTTTTTATAGTTCCTATAGTGATAGTTACAGTGATACCTAGTTGAAACATAAAATAAATGTGCCAGGAGCACAATTTGATATGGTTGGCCGTAATGGTCTGTAATATGCTTACGGATCGCATCGAAAATGATTCACTGAATGCATACAAACATTTAAAAATAAAGTTTTGGGTCAAAAGGGGTACATGCTAATTTGAATTTGTATAATATAACTCAAGTGTATTCATTAAATTATAAATGTATTGAATGTAAAAGTAATTTATAATAAGACAACAATAATGTAATTAAAAGTTTGTATAAAATCCAGTTATTGAATTTTTATTTAATAATTGCTTGAATTAATGTATTCATTTTATTTTATTTTTAATTAATGGCGGCGTGCACAAAGTACGTACGCAAAATTTTGGTCAAAAATTGAACCCCCCTCCCCCATACACGCCCATCGTACATAGGAACTTAACATGGTGACATACGCTTTGGCATGACTCTCCCTCCCCCCTACCAGTGCGTATGTACTTTGTGCACGCCGCCTATGTAAATTTTTTCAGAAAATTAGATTTTTATAAAAAAAATTCTTTTTCAATTAAAATACATAATAAGAGTCTAGAAATTGCAATTAAAATCCAATGTCAATTTAAATTTTATTTTTGGAAAGAATTATTAGATATTTCAAGTCATATGAGTGTTTTTTATAATCCAGTAAAAATATTTTTATAAAAATGCAATACCAATTAAATTGCTTATCATTTTTATTTTTAAATACTATTTCTATATAAAATCGTAGACTACCTAAAATGATATCAATTTCTAAAATACGATTTCTCCGTGTTTTAAAAAATTCTTATCAAGCTAAAAATGTGTATATGAGCTAAAAACACACGTTTAAATCGTTTTCTAGAAATTGATGTTATTAAAATAATTAGAAACAAAAATTAAAAACAGATATGCCAATATATACTACGGTACAAACTGGACAAATATATCTGAAAGCATATTAAAATATTTCAATTAATAAAGAAATGGCAGCATTTTGAATGTTTAGATTTATGTGCAGTAATTGTCAAAATTTAAAAAATCAAATTTCTTTATTAATTGGAATATTTATAAATTATATACTTCTAGAAAGTTCTACATGTTAAAGTATAGCCTATATAACTGCATTGATATTATGTAAGAGAGGAATCTTTTGGACTACTGGTGCCGTACATTTAACAAACTGTATGTTTTTTTTGTGTAGAAAATACTGTTTAATGTAAAAAAACTGAAAGTTATTGAAATAATAAAACTAAATTTGCAAATAAGCAAGTGTATTTAATTTATTTTAAACTGGACTTGCTTACAATATTCAATTTGCTTTAACTTTTAGTAAAATAATAAAATACAATTTACTGAATAACATAATTCAAGCAATTATTAAAAACAAACTCTATAATAATACAGCGTATGAATACAAGTATTTACAGTATTAAATAATATATACTGTATAGCTAATTATAATATTTAAAACATTTTGAGCCCACGATTCATATTAATAGGCGCTAATAAAAATCAAGGCTATAGTTATAAAATAACACGTTTACATTTCAAAATGTTACATTAATTATCTTCCTGTGAAATTTATTATTAAATATCAAGTAAACTCGTTATTCAATGTTACTTATAAAATAAAATAATAATTTTAAATTCCTGTTTAGCATACGCTGTGTATTTCCCACAGTGTATATTCAATACAGGAATTTATGTTTATATAAATATTATATTTATGAATTATGAAAATATTAATATATGTTAATTTTGAAAAGTATTCAATTTGTAAAAATAAATATAATATTTAAATTGATCATGTGTCTGTAATAATATATTTTGCAAAGTAAGAAAATAAGCTACTTAATACTGTATAATATAATATAATTTAAAAATATATTATAGATTTATGTAAATGTGCTACATACCAGTATAGATAAAAATCATTTTATGTTATACTGCATGAATATCCTGTACGTGTTTCCTTTATATAAAAATATTATTAATATTTAGTTAAAATATGTAAAATTATAATTTTTAAAATAATTTAATTTAAACTAAGATGTCTCTATTTTTTATAAAATATTTTCATATTATTTTCATATTTTGCAAAATAAATATTTGTATCAAATAATTTTACTAGATACTACTATTATTTTTATAATTATTAATTATAACATTAACATTACAAACAATTAATTTATTTTACAGTAGTATTAGTGATGGACAGGGATATAGCGATCGCGTGGAGAGACCTAACAGTGAGTACGAAGACATGGACGGGAAGGAAAGGAAAGGTGATATTGAGTGGCATTTCGGGAAGCTTTAGGTCGGGATCACTGAATGCATTGATGGGAGCGTCGGGTTCGGGAAAGTCTACTCTTTTGAAGTGTTTGAATGCAAGCAATAAATACTGTTTG